TGCTTGATATAAAAGTTTAATAAAAGCTGGGGTAAATATTTTAAGTTTGTATAAGCGCTTATCCCCCCCGCATGTGCTCGCCGATCAACGAATCCGCTCCCCATGCTCTCCTCGTCCCCTCTCCCTTAGGGGAGCCTGTATTTCCCCGAGGTATTACCACCTTCAAACCTCAACTCTAAGAAATCCAAATCACTCCTATCAAAGTGCTATACTAACAACCCGTCCACAGTAATCCCAGCGATAACCGCTACGTCACCAGCAAAGATCCGCGAGCCCGCCTGTTTTCTCACAGTGACTAGGGCAGAGAGACCACTTAAAACCAATTCCGATTCCTCCCCTGACTTCGCCCGTGAGCTAGGGGAATTTTTATGTGCAAGTTGAGGGTCGTTGAATCACTAGCGGGCCCTACTTTGTGCCTTGCTCGATATCACGAGCTTCCTGTTTGTTGCCAGCGGTGAAGCGGAGTTAAGGAGATGAGTTATCAGGCAGTCTATTACCTTTGGATAAGGGTAGGCAGCCTGGTGTTAGCCTTTCTCCCACCGCCCTGATTCACTTGTATTTGGGAGCTGTGAATTGCCCGCAGGAACCAAGGATTACTCCACCCTTCGAAGCACTTTTCTCAAAGTAGTGGAGATGCGTAATTGAGGAGCATTAAAAAACGCCCGTTCAAATGCTAAATTACATATGAAGTATGCGGCGACGGGACGTGCTGCTATGGGGGTGTTATTTTCACACCCTACCGTATGCCGTTTGGTTCGGGTGTTAGTTTCTGTTTCCTCTATATGATACCACTTCGAGTCGGGCATCGGTTCCAGGACCTAACCCCCACGCCGGTTCTGGGTTGTCTTGGATGATTGTGGGCTGTTATTTTACCTCCTTGGTAAAACATCCGGGTTACATACTGTTATTGTCTGAGTGATTCTTTAGATCTTGAGGTTTCGGGAGTTGTTAGTGAGGAGGGGTGAGAGTGCATCATATGGCTATTCCTTAGATAGTATGGTATCGACCACCTCGTTTATGGCGCCCAACTGGTGTCTCACTACTTCATTCAAGTCGCTTTCTTATCAGATTCACTAACTATCAAACAATCACTAGGTTTTTTTTAAAGAAATAATCATGGAATATCACTCGATCTCAGTACCAGATCAAATACTAGGCCCTCGAACGTGGTTCCATTCGTTTCGTATTGGAGTCATGGTCTGGACTAATGAAATATATCGTGCTTACACTTCACGATTATCGCGGGAGTTCATGTTGTTCCTCCAGTTCCCCCTTTATAATTTGTTTCTAGCGTTATTGACTAAGTTCGCGCCGTGAAGGGGACTGGTGTGAGGGGTATGGTGCTGATGGCAAGCTCGCTTATATATTCGCAAATTCCCGGTCGATTTCTTTACTGTTATCACTACCTTGTTAGACAATCCATCCTGTGATCCTAATGTATCCTTGTCCAGGTCGTAGGGTCCTACAATGGGACTATCACTCCACTACATCTGATCACATATTTGCTACATTGAAAGTGCAGCTTTGTTTTCCATCCACCAACTCCGGAATAAACGGATAAACGGCAATTACATAGGTCCTATGTATCTGTAGAAGTATTTGGGGTGTTATGTTTTTTTCAACTTCAGAGAGTTCTAAATAGTTGAGGTTAAGATTACCAACAAACCTTTCGGGCTGCCGCCGAAGGTGGATATATAACCCTATATGTATGGACAATATATAGAATGCTTGCGATGAGCTAAAACGGTATCTAAACCTAGAACCTTTAAATCACCTTATCACTCGTGCCACGGACAACGCTACAGTGCGATATTCGCATCCGCAAACCCCTCAAAGTAAAATCCGAGAAAGAAAGGAAACAAGAGAGACAGTTATCACTGTGCTTGTGGGCGAAAGAAAGTGCGCATATCCGCTCCGCTCCATCATATGCTCCCCTCTCCTCCACCTCACTTGAGCGCGCGCTGCGGCGTTGGTTGCGGGTGTGGGGTTGATCAGATTAACCGGTTGTTCCGCGTGATGTTCTGTGAGGGGTTGGTGGCTGCAGATTGGAGGGAATTTCGAGGGAGGCAAAGCAGGTTTGAGTGTGAGGGTGTGGGAGGAAGGGTAGAGGTCTGCGCCAATCTTTCAGGGAGGCGGAAAAAACTCTGTAAGAAGGCCGAAATGCACTGCATAATAATAATTGAAAAGTGCATGGAATAGGATGTCGTAAAATGCAGTGGGCGCCGAGCTTAAACTTTCCTTTCGTTTCCGATCTCGACCTCGGACGTCCTAGGTGACGAATGCTACCAGGAGGGCAACCCCGCTGATTCCGCCATAGAGCGGAAAAGGCAGAGAAACTTGCTCCCCCCCAATGCTACCAAACCGGTTTATCGCGCAATTATTATTCTCTTCTATCCATCCTCCTCTCCCATTTGGGAGTAGTCCTCCTGAGCTCACCTGGGGATACAGTGGAGAGGTATGAGATTGTATAAGGGCAGGGGGTGGGGTTCATTCAAATTCCATACGAACCCGAATATCCCCACTCTCCGGTTCGACGAATGCTTTTATCTGAGAATTGGAAACTGTCATAGAATCTCTACGGTTCACCAAGGTATGATATCCAGTGGAGCAAGGTCTGGGATAGCGGGATGCGGCCGCACCCTAAAACAGGGATTGAAGAAATATGTGGTAAACAGTATGTGCGTTCCTAGGCGCCCATACAAAGATACCGCCCCTGTTTTTGGCCTCTTATTGTGTGTAAGGAGTGACATTATTTTGGGGGGGATTTTCTGTAGATCTTTGACATGGCATAGTGCCCGTATTATAAGGCAGAAAAGTAACCCTTGGCTTGTCGGATGTTGCGCTCAAGAGATCTGGAAAGTATCCTTCCCTCACTGGAAATATTTTACTAAGGGTTTAAATTGAGGCCTACCGGTATTCCACTGATCTTTTGGGCGGTCTGACAAACTAAGGGATAGGTTAATGAAAAAGTGGATGTCAATCCTCTCCCCAATCATCCCCCAACCCCCCAATTCGGGGTTGCATTCTCTCGGACCACTCCCCTTTTTGAAAGTTCTCCGTGCAGAGGTGCCTAATGCCTGCAGTAGTAACACGATCCCACACAATTGAAAGTGCCAAACTCCCTGAGCCGCCAATCACACCGAACCTTCTTCAGTACTGGTATCATATCTGAATCCGAACACAGACTCAGTTCCTGCATCCTGAGAGTGATAAATTATGATGCGGGTATCTGCAAGACATGCATCTGGGCGACCCGGCCATGACGTCTGACACCAACTCTCTCCCCCCCACTAACGGGCGGTGCCCAATAACACCCAGCTGGGAACCCCCTTCCAGAACGGGTGAGCACAACTGGGTAAACATTTTTCCTCCCCGGGGCTAGGTTGGTTTCAAGCTTAATCAGCCGACCCCAGGTTCTTAATTAGACTTTTTCTTAACCTGGAGGGAGAGGGAAGAGCAAGTGAGAGCGGGAGTAACGAGGATAAACCGACCGACTAACCAAGGAATAACCCATTGTGGCCGGGTAAGATCTTTTTATCCGGCTTTCCATTTCGGAGGGGGGTTTTTTTCCCGGTCCGTGGGCGCGTTGCTCGAGTAGGGGGGCTGCCCCGTGTCTGAGTGCTCTGCATGATACCTGATTGAATGGTAGGGACGGCTTTAATCCCGGTAGTTGTTGTGTGGTGGGTATGATGCGGTGGGGTTAGTATAGCACCTTGCTCAAGTACGGTATCATGGTCTAATGATATAATGGTGGTACCGGTAGTGGACAGACAGCGCCCTGGGTGAGAAGTGATCTGCTGGAGTACTCGTACTGGTACTTATAAAGATATCGTGCCGGTGCAAGTACATACGATGGCGGTAGACTACCACATAATATGGTGCAGTGCCTCGATATATGTTATCCCAACTGGCGAATACCGGGGTTGGCTTGGATTTTACATGGATCCATCAGCCGCATAGATTGTGGCACAGCAAGTGAAAATGTTCTCCTAAACATTCTAAGCGTTTTGCCTGCGCCGTTTCACGAAAACCCTGTTGTGCAAATCATGTCTACAGACGGCTGATCAACGAACCGATGACGAGAAAAATTTCCTTGACCCCGCACTTTCTGTGGGCTGAGAATTTGCAGAGAAAGTCACACTGGGGATAGACTGGGTTTGGCGTTTTATCGTGGCGCCGGTTTTGTTGAGGTTTATTAACATGATCGATGCTTAACCGGGTAATTATTTGGCCTAATCCGGAAAAGCTAGGGCTCAGGGATTGGCGAGGGGGTTGCTAGCCGCTGTCAGCCATTGGGATATTCAGCCTTGTGTTGAGATTGTTTGTGACCAGAAAAAAAAGTAGCCATTTTGGAAAGTAAGTTAAGGTATTGTCTAGGCGCCGCAGCTCGCAATTCTTATTCCACCGTCGGGGAACAAGAAAACCGCTGATAAAATGGAGCTAGGATGGTATCATAGGTCACAGAGCTACAGAGATGGACTTAGCCCTTTTCATGGAGCTTCCAAAGAACCTATAGAGGGTCAAACCGGTTCTTCTAGGAAATCATCCCTCGAGAGGGTTTTGGCACCCTGAGCGGCTGGGGTAGACCCTGTCTGCGTGTCGGCAGCGGAGCTTCTATGCCTTCCACCACCGCAACTCAACCCGTAGTCAACCAGCCAATCCACCCATTTCGTGCCATTATCCCTCTTCCCTCAGCCCTCAACTCTCCCCCGCCCCATTTCTTTCCCATTTCTTTCCTTCTAGTGTTCTATCCATACCCATTAGTCTACTGCCGATTCATTTTTCCTTCGGGAAGAAAGGCTCCGACCGCCGGCAAATACCGCTTCACCGCCTTCGCTTCTCACCAGAGCCCCTGAATTGGCTAAACTTTACGACTCCCACGATAAACATTTCACCGAACAATTCCCTCTCGCTGGATTCCTCGTACTATTCCACATCGATAACCTGCTTCTCCCTACCGCTGGAGAAGCAGCGGTTCCCTCCCACCCTCTTCACCCGCCATGGATCGCAGAAAACCTTCATCATGCAGTCGCTTTATCCTCCTTCTCCGGAATCTCTTCATCGCAGCGTTAGCGTACACGTTCGTTGTCGAAGTTCTGCACATTTATCAAACCGGTACTATTTCTCCCTTTTCGAAGGGTTCGCCAAAGAAATCCACGGGCAGGGATAGTAAGGGGGGCTCGTTGTCCGGGGGTGTAAATTGGCGGCTGAGGCCGACGACCTTGGTGGAGGGTACCAACGATGCTTTCATGGGGAGGAGGCCTGATGTGGATACTTATGCGAATTACACAAAATTGATTGAGACGTGTCGGGGGTCCTTAAATGGGTTGGAGAGAATGAGGAATGTTTATGACTGCTTAGACTACCTTACTCGCCGCGAGGACGACTACTTTTTCATGGCCGAGAACCGGCCTTCGGCTGCTGACCCGAACTACAAATCGATTGAGGGCGCCGCCCCCCCATCTACACACTATATCGGGGATTGCCCTGGCCCCGTTCAACTCTATCATACATATTGGACTGGTCCGGCTACGTGGCGGGTGGAACTTTTCGTCAAGGCTTATCTGTATACCCAGAATATTCCCTGCAGCAGACTGTATATTTGGCTCGAGTCGGATGGGTTTCCGGACGCTGTGTCGGACATGATGAAGGATCCTCTATTCGCCAAGTTTCTTCCGCTTGTGGAGCGTGGTGATTTAGTTCTTAAGGCATGGAAATTCCCCCGTAGAATTCCCTTGCCCAAAGGGGCTATCGCTGAGGATCCAGCATATACGAAATCTCTTGCCGGCAAGGGGTCCCTTCGCGGAACCTCCGGTGAGGCTAGGAGTCCTAAAACTGAAGTCTACATTGCCGACGGGGTTGTTCGGATGGAAGATGGTAGCGAGTGGCTTGTGCTTACCGAGCGCCAAATGACCTTTCTTCCCGTTGCTGTCTCGGATGCCGTACGATTCATTGTCTTACATTTACATGGAGGTGTTTATATGGATATGGATGTTATGCTTTTGCGTGACATGCGGCCACTGTTATTGACGCCTGATCATAACTTTGCCGAGCGTTGGGCAGTTCATTCACACCCTGGGGATTACAATACTGCTGTCATGTCTCTCAACGCAAACAGCTCTCTATCGTCGTACCTTGTTAGGGGCGGAATCAGGATGGGTCTGAACTTTCACCCGAGAATTATTGGGAGGATGGCATGGAAGGATGGGAGGAATGAGGAATTTGCCATGTTTGAGACCGGGCTATTTGATCCAATTTGGGGCGAGTTCAATTGGGGCCGAGAGGGGAGGTGCACAGTTCCTTGTTTCAAGGATTATGGCGTTGCTTTCCAAGGGACAAGGGGTGCTATCAAGGATGAATGGGAGAGCTATGATGGGAAGCCGCTTTCAGAAAGGGTGTATCAGAGGGAGCTAGAGCTCAGGTCTCGGGTCTCGGATTCACCACCATCTTCAGCTGACGAGATTGAGCGCGCCTCGGTTGAGGCTCTAGCTATGGAAAAGGGGGATGCGGATGTGACCTATGGGGGAAAGCCATATACATTGAAGGAGGATAAATACCCGCCGAACAATAGAACATTGGAAAACTTTTTTAGAGGAGCTTGGAGTTATCATATTCATAATCAGGTTTGTGCTTCTATTTCCTTCTCACCATTTACCCTGCCGAATCTGACCCGATGCTCCCAGTGGACCAAACACCCACAGCCAAATTCTTGGTTCGACATCGCCCAAAAAGCTCATGACGGCTTCCTCCAAGGAACACGCAAGAACGTCTACGGCGAATCTTGGACAGGGCCCGATATCCCAGCTTACGACCGCTGGCCGGAATTCGATTAATGTACGAGTATTTCTTGAGGGGGGGAATTCTTTCTTTTCTCCTAAAAAAAGGTTCAAGATCAGCCAAAACAAACCTTAATGTGGCGTGGTTCGGCGTTTTGTGAGCGAGTTTCCTTTTCCGTTTTTTCTTCTCTTTATTCTTGTTAATTATTTATCACTCGCTTCGTCAAGGACGGGAGATGTCTGCTTGCTAGCAACGTTTATACCCTGGTGAGACGCTTTTTACCTCTTATATCTGTTTTATTTTATCGGTTTGTTTGCGGGATATGGAAAATAGCGAGATGACAAGTCTTTTTTTTTAGCGATTTTTACCTTTCCCTTTGATCACTTGTGCGGGCAAAGTGTTTTCTTGTATAGACTGGGGGTGGAGTCATTAGTTTGTGCATTTTGCATCGTCATCGTTTTTGGTTCTACGCTCGTTAGACTTTGGAGTGGATGTTGCGTTTAATCAGTTGTAATATGCGGCTAGAGAAAAGGTGTGCGCAGAGAGAGGGTGGCTAATGAGAAGCAGATACAAGAACATGTGACGGATGTATAACTTGGACTGTAAATTTCTTCAAGTGAAAGGGAATCCGGACTGGGTTCTCCAGTGTACTTTTTCGGCGAGTTTCTCGGTGGAAGATAAATAAGTAAGCGTATGATACGCATGCTGTGCAGTATGGAAACTGCTAGGGACACACGTGATACATACCGGTATCATAGTGCACCACTTCTCACTCGGGTATATGCCGGGGTCCTGGTTGGTTGGTGGGAGGGGTGATATGTTGATCGCACTGGGATTATCCCCAAATTCCTGATTTAAAGTCATCTTATATATGTGCGATATCTCGCGACCAGTCTGGGGCATAGTCTGCCGGTTACCAGCTGAGGGTCTTCACCCGTTAGTACAGTTCGACCATCGCTCAAAAAGGCCGTGGTTACCAGCAATTTGCCAAGATAAGAGTCCGAGTAACTCCTCACAACAATATCCCAATCCTCAATGAGTTATGACGATGGGAATGGAGAGGTATAGTGGGACTCTGGAAAACAGTTGGAGTATAATCTTTGTGTGGGTAATATGTGACTATGATAATTCGGGGGGGGGAGGTGTTTTTTTTTTCTTCTATAGTGTTTGCTGGGGGATTCTGAAGGTAATCGTGGTCGGTTTGGAGTGAGACGAGCGTGATACCGTGCATCGTTGGATCCACCAGCAATTTTCCGCAGGAGGTGATTGTGGGGTATTAAAATTGTTACAGGGGGGAAAGCCAAGGCTAGTATGGCTTGACCTTTGTGCCACTGCATAGTCACTGTTTTGGCGCCGTTGGTTACGGTACCCGGACTGCTGTATCGGGTTTTTGCGTGGTTTGCGTGGCGGTACTTGGGCTCTGCGTAGTTCGAGTTGTCTGCCGGAGTTGAAGGTGTTTCTCTTGTTGGAACATAGAATCGGAATTGCCTGAATTACGGGTTCTATTGTGTGTTGCATGATTGGGGTTTTCCGATGCGGGTGTTGCGTATGCCTGTGGTAGGAAATGCGTGCGTTGTGGAGTACGTATGTAGGCATTCCTATAGATGGTTATGGTGTCGTTGCCTATGTGTGTGGATTTTTTAGTTGCTGATTGTGCTCTCCTGAGATTGTGTGGCTATGATGCTTCTTTTCCTCACTTTTTGATCTTCACTGCTTTCCACTTTTTTGTGCTGGTACAACAGGTTGACCTTGGCAACTGGTGCAGCCCTCACGGTAAACAGGTATCATACCGTGCATATCATGGATAGTAACGCTTGAGTACAAGTATCCTATAGGTGAGGTAAGTGATACAATAATAACCCATCTAACTTCAAAAGGGCACGTGCTATTATGTAACTTGGTGAACCAAATCCCTCAGTCCCCTGGATGTCTGCTTTATGCATAAGTTTGTCATCATATATCATTCGCTAGCCCGCACAAGGGCTTACGCGTACCCCTTGTCTGCTCCGAAATGTCGTGTTTGCTTGCCCCATTCTATGTTCTCGGCATAAGCCCACTATGTCCCTCCCTTTCAGCTCTTTGGCGTCACCGAGGCTATTCTTTTTACATTCATCACTGACTTCCCGTCGCCGGGTCCTTTCGGGAGCTGGGGTAGTTTGATAGTCCGTCTGGAAGCCTACCGTAGGAAGGCTACTTCATACTGATGCTGGTGTGAAGAACCCAGGCAACCGGGAAGTAGACCATGGGTTATCGTCTCCGTCTTAGTTTCCGCCTTGTTTGGGCTGTCGGGTTACTATCGGGTTGGTGGGGGCTCCATGTGAATGCTTGTTCTATCTGACAGTGGCAGATGCCAGGAATGTGTTATTCCTGCCGTGGTGATGAATTTGGTTGCATTTGATAGATACTCATTAGTGGTATTAGTATCCAGCTGATACCACAAGGGTTTATCACATTGACTACCGGCAGCCCGGTACGCAATATCGCGGAGCAATAGAACCGCGAAAGGCTTCAAAATAGCCTATCGGAAGCCCCCTATTTCTTTGGTCCACTGGGCTGTCGGTAGTTGGTGTCCTGTCTCTAATGGTCGCCTGTTTATGGGCTCTGGATGGGCTCTGGGGCGAGCCTTAGGTGTCACACAATTGGGAAACTGCCAGACTACTGGTACTCACACTGTTGCGACCACTACGAGGATTGGGTCACCGCTGCCAGTGGCCGTACTAAGTGGTATCTGCTGAGGTGTGGGGAAATTCGGCACGATCACCATACCACCATAGTAGGGGTATAAGATCGGGTTGACCGGAAAAATATGTGGAGGTGAGGGGGGTTCCAGAATTAATGGAATAGCCACTCGGAAAAGGATTATTTCCCTTACAAATTTTTAATTCACTACCTAAAGTCTTAGGTCCGGATGTTGGTATATTTAGGGACTTACTATCTGAATGAGTGTGCGAAATACTCTAGGGGTGAGCCCTTAGTGGAGGGGATATGCCAATGGGACAAGACTTTCTGTGAGAGTTCGATTATTCCCTTGATTGCTAAAAGTACCGCACCCTCCATCTTCCCCATCTCTGTAGATTCGTAGATTCACGACAGTGAAGTCATTCGCTTCAGCTAACTTTAGAGTTAAAAGGTTAAACTCCCCCTTTTCTGACAGGTGCGAAGACAGGTCCCCACGGGCTGAATATAGTATCCGCCCTCTAACAAGTCCCGAGAGTTTCTCCCGGGGGACGCATATCTACAGACTCGTTTGAAAAAAAAACCAAAAAACTCACTAGCCCAAACAAGACTTCTTGCGAGATCCTTGAACGATTGAGCTGCCGCGCTATTTTTTCACGCTACATAGAGGCCCTCAGACTCTAAACATGGAGCGACAATCTTGTGCGATTGATGTAGGGTCGCTATCAGATGTCGGCGGGGTACATTTTCTTTTGATATCTTCCACGACGGCGCCCTGTAGGGTGTACAAGTCAGTCAAAATATTGGAGAGGGTCCTTGCAGCGGTGGGCGGGGGGACATGTGGTGATGGTAATGTCTGCGGCTCTAAGACTTGATGTATAATTTGCTTTCTGGCCTTCGAGGATTTTAAGTCAGATTTCATGTCGTTCTGGTTGTAGTGGGGGAAGATTAACCAGAGATGGAACGTATTGGCAGGAGTGGGGAGGTAGTTTTTGGAATCGCCCTTTTTCACTTCAGAAGGTGCGGGGTGCTAAGACCAAGAGGGCCTTGATACGGCAAAAGCAGGAATGATCGTAGAGGAAGGTCGAAAATACCCCTCTTTTCCCGCTTCACGTGGCCGAGATGGGAGGACCCCTCACGGACTACGTTAATGGCCTTATCTATCCCTATTGGCACCACACTGCAGTTCTTTCACAAAGACCATAAGATTTTAAGCGGCGTGCTGATGAGTGTCTGAGTCACAAGCTCTGTAATTGTTAAAAATCATTTTCCCCACAACGACATTTTTCCTTCCTAAGCCCCTGGGAGCTAAGGTTATGCATAAAATCGGCTGTCTGGGTGTACATTCCTGAAGGAACAACCGGTTGCATGCACTGGCGCCGAGTAAGTACGCCTTCCAGTGAGTCGTGGTGGATTTTAATGACTACTTTGTCGCTGTGGGGCTCTCCTGCTTGCTCATTATCTAAAGGTTTGATTGATATCTAGGACGTGGTGTAGTGATATCACACTGAATTATCGGTTGTGCCAAAAATCTGTGGAAAAGGGCAGGAAGAACATTGTTTGAGACTAACTCGTGAAACAAGCTTTCCAAGAGCTGCGCGTGGGGTGCCACAGGTGCTACGCGACAAGCTTCTGGCCGCAGATTCTCTCATCCGGTGCATTGATGTTTCTCTCGAAGCGCTGAGGGAATACCCGGAAAAACTCTTAGAACCCAGTATCACCGTCATCCCACGATAGGTTTAGTTTAGCGGGTTAGCAGAATTTCGAATACCAGTTAACGCAATCCAACACATCTCATGGGCTGATCCTTTATTATACCGGGAAAACGCTAATCCTTCTCGGAGGGGTTTTCTCTCTCTAAATCTGGGGATTACAGGGTTCTGACAGAGATGCCGGTAGTCGATTCCCAGAGTTTCTACAATGGAACAGGCAACTGGGGGGTTGATCGCGGCTTGAACATCCAATTCCCATGGGTTCCACATCTCAAGTGCCGATCCATTATTGCTAACCCGTGACTTTATCTAACGAGGGTAGTACGAGTACTGTACATACGAGTACTTGTGCGGCACCGCTTACTAGAATCCCACCGGAAGCGGCATCGAGACTGTAGGGCACTGTACGAGTACTGGTACATATCGGTGGTAAAACAAAGCTGCCTGTGTCGTGGCCATTTCTGGCGCTGTTTCCCGTTGCTCGAGACCTGAACCAGAATACCAGAACTGACGGCTCTACCAGCAACCGGTGTCTTGGAGAAATTACGATTAAATTTACGGTTCAATTTCAGAACTGTCAGAGATCCCGGGGCGTGCGCACGCTTACATTCGGGTATCGGTAGGTGGTATTTGCTTTTTTCCGGGAGTTGGACAGACATTTTTTAGTCGTTGGATAGAAAAAGCTTGGTCCAACCTGCTTTGGAGGGCGCATGATGGGTAAAAGAGGATGTGTCTGGTTTTGGATAGATAAGATGACTGTATGAGTACGGTAAGTGTTCGTATGAGTCGGATTGAAGCTGAGGTCGCAGTGACAGAGCTAAACTGGATGGGCTAACTAGACGTCTAGGAGGCCGTTGGTTTTGCCACACTTAGGGTAAAATTTTCACACTCTGAAGAAATGAAGAAAAACGATTTGGTAGAATTATGCCTATTACACTAGCATCAGCACCGGTCCGGCTCGTGCGGGGGACTGAAGGCAGAAGAGGAGGGGTACTGGCGAGAGAAGTTTCAGCTTTCTTGTTTTCGCGATTTGTCTGCGGGGGTCAAAATCAATGGAACCGGCCATCACAATCTGAATACGGTAGCTGGCGTGTATTTCTGGAACCTTGTGATACATTGCAGTTCCTAGAGCACAGCGTTTTGTGGACTTCTTGCGGGTATCGCTCGAGTTGGGTCTGGAAAAAGCTTAGCTGGAGATATTATTTATGATTGATGTATGCGGCCTCTTCTCTTTCTATCTCTTTCTCTCTATGGGTAACCGCGCTTGGAGCCATTCCGGCTCAAAATGCCCTTCCCTTGCCCGAGCATCAATGGCATGTGGAATGCGGGATTTGATACCGGTTGGGCTGAGATACCCTGCTCGGTTTACCTTTTGTCGTCTCCTTCCCCGGATGGGGCAGTGTACTGTACAACGGTAGTGTAAGCCTGGTATCTCGCCCAACGCAATGCATGGGAAAAATAAAAGGGGCCGCATACTCGAGTATGGATACGGTACCCCGAAAGGGCTCACATTGGTGTGCAGTATTCGAGTACTAGTATTTATAGATGGACACAAGAATATCACCGGACATGCGGTATTGCTAAAATCTGGGGCTAACCTCTGTATTGGATGTTCCGAGAGGGGATGGGTAGAGAGATCAGTGTTTCGTGGGGTTCGCCTCGCTAGGGAATTATATTGGAAGATGTTGGGATTTCGCGGAAGAGGCTCGCCGGGGTTGAACAAGGAGCGGGAGCAATAATGGAATGGAGGGCCATAGCGTAATAATGGATGGGTGCGAATTTTGATGCGGCATTATCTCCACAATTGGGGTTGCCAACAAGTACGGTACCGTGGGAGGTTTGGGATGCACTGAACACCAGGCATAAATGTTAAGCCCGGACGAGGAAGAGGAGGCCAGGATTAAAACCATCGTATTCCCCAGGAATCTCTCCCTGCATAGGTGATGGGAGGAAACCTGTCGGCAACCAACCCTACCAGTGCATACGAGTATTAAACAGCTAAATTAACCATCACTCCTCGGATCGAGCAATGTTTGTGATATGTGTGCTGCCGTTTCCTATGCAACGCTATGAGCACGAGTGATTGATCATAAGCTTGTGTGTTGTCTGTCCTTGTCCTTATAGTACCTTTGCAACAAAGGATCGTGCTGTACTTGTAATATACGGTAGTATGGTACTTGTACAGTACTATACAGTATGTTGAGGCATGGACTTTAACGTATTGCGCGGAGGGGATGGGGGAAGACAAGGAATAAGAGAAAGCAAGCTTGGTCTACTCGTATTGGACAAGGGATTGATATGCCGTTTTACCGTGATTACTGTCGAGAGTCCTCACGAGCGCTTTACTGCACTCGAGTGGGGCGGCGGTGTCGGCGGCGGGCTCCGAGAGGATATCATAATTCGAGGTGGGTGAATAGTGAAGGGGCGAGCTTCATGGTTTGACAGGCTGACTTTTTAGACTTCTGTAATGCCGGCACGGTAAGTTATAGCAGTTTGTTTCACGGAGAGGAGTAAGACACTAGTCTAAGTGAAGTTTGGAATGGAATTAATTGTGCTGTACAGTACTCGTACAGTACAGTACAAGTACAAATTCATACAGAAATTAGGCTCACATCCACGAAGAAGACAGCAGCAATGCAGGGCTGCTGCTGCTTCCGAAGCAGAACAAGCGCTGCACGATAGGACTGCATTTTCTACTCTGGGCCCCTCCCTCTGCATTGCGTGCTGTGTGGGTATTGTCAGGTATCGAGAGATCAAGGATGATAAAAGGGACAAATCTCTTTCCCTTCATTTCTCCTTTCCTCTTCCCCATCATACTCTCCTCGCCCCGCTGCTTCGTTTCACTTCGCTTGGGTCCCCTTTAGCTCCCGGAACATTTTTCTCTTTTCTTTCAGCTCATCGAGAGTCAACATATCATATCGGCTCTGATTCTCACTTTCCCCAGAGCCGAAGATAGCGAACGCACGGGTGTTGTGACCCTTGTCAGCATCGTCATCGGAATAATTTAGCGTCTGAAGGCTTTTCTCTATTTCATTTCTATTTCTCCCTCTCTCGATACTCTTGCTATATTTATCATTAAATTTTTACCCTCCTCTTTGAGTTCTCCCGGGAGCAAAATTTCTTTCTTTCGAGGGAGTTCTTGGCCAGCTCGGCGGGGGAAAGTAGCGTTAACCTTGAAGTCGGGGGGAGACTGAGAAGAAAATAATAATTCCGGGTCACAGGACGTAAATACAATTTTTACAAAGTACAGTACAGTACCGGTACTGTACGAGCACCCTTCCCCCCCTCCTTTACAGACAGAACTCGCCGGTACGGTAGCGAAGTGCGGTGGCAACCGTTTGTGAAGTTACAGCGGAGAATATCCCCGTCCGTTTACCCTAATAAATAGCGAAGAGCCTCTTCTCACAGAAGCTTCAGTTGTCCCGATTGCTACTTTTCTTGTCTTTTCTTTTTCAGCCTTGCTTGTCTCTTCTTTCGGTTTGGTGTAGGCTGCGTCTGTTCTCAAATTCTTCCTTCTTTCTTTCCTTCCATCCTACCCGTTACGCTGCTTACAACACCACACCTCCCCTCACCACACACTCGCACCAGGGATATCGTATCCGTCACAATCGCTGTGGAATCTAGAAACCTGGGTAAGTTTTTCTTAATCTCATTACTTTATTGATTGTTGTTGAGTTTTCGACGCGATTCATTGTTAGCATAATTTTGTGGTTGACGAGATGTAACTTGTTTCCTTTTTTTTCTTCTTCTCCTGTCGTCTCGCTTGGCCTACCGGCATGCCGTTACTGGCCTGGGGCGGTTGGCCAAGCGTTATTATTCGTTGGTGTGAATTTGTCCAATTCAAAGCGCGGCTCCACGAAGGGGGCAAACTGGCTGTTGGCTTCCACAATACCGGTACTCTATTAGTTTTCCGTGCCCCTCGTGTTGTTTTCTCCTTCCTTCTTTTTTCAAACTGCCCCCTTCTGTTCTGCCCGACCCTTTAAAACAAACCGACACCGCTCTTTCTCACCTCCCTCCTCTTATCCATCAATCTTCCTCTTGATCGTGTGCTAAAGGCGGACGATCCGAAAAGAATAGTCACACTCTCCATCTGCAGCTCCGCGAGCAAACCCCTGCATTTACCCCCTCCCCAGCGGAATATTTACCCCTCGTCTCCCCACCACTTCTGGAAAACGTTCATAAAACGCTCACATCTCAAAGAATAAAAAAAAAAAAAGTTGTCATGACGTCCGTTCTACCGGCTACGGCTCCAAGCATGCAGAGTGCTCCTATATCGCAGACGCACCCTTACACCTGTAATGCATGCCAGGTCGCTTTTCGCAATCATGACCAGCAGCGCACTCATTATCACACCGACTGGCAGTATGTATACTCTTTTCGTGGCGAGTTTCATGTGGGAGAGTATTGATCAGCTAAACCGTGGCATAGCCAGTACAATTTGAAGCGGAAGGTTGCTTCTCTTCCCCCGCTCTCCTCCGAAACGTTCGCCGAAAAGGTCCTCACAGCTCAGGCTTCCACAAGACTGGAACGGGAGCGTGCTTCTTTCGAGAGAACCTGTAAGGCATGTAATAGGACGTACTATTCTGAAAACGCTTACGTGAACCACGTGGGATCCCAGCGGCATCGGCAGAACGTCACAAACTTGGACTTGAGCGCTCTCCGCGCAGGTGGGGGCAACGGGGGGTCCCGAGTCAGCGAGAAGGACGAAACCGGTAGTGTTATTAGTAGCACATTTTCGCTTGGGGAGCCAGTTGAGATGTCGCAGAATAAGGAGCAGGAAAAGGTGGTTTCTGACACAGAGTTCGCGGGTATGGTGCAGGCCTTGAAGGTTGCCGAGGCGGTTGGAAATGAGTCCTCTGGATCTTGGACTAATACCGTCACCTCGCTCTCAAGTGGCGATGTGCCTAAGGCTGCTACTGCAGAAAAATTAGAGGATTTACCACAGTTGCCGATTGAGGCGTGCTTATTTTGCACATACGTGTCTCCATCACTACTGCTTAATGTATCGCACATGACTAAGGCGCATGGCCTATTTATTCCTGAGCGAAATTTCCTTGCTGACCTGGAAGGTTTGATCCGGTATCTTGGTCAAAAACTCGTCCTCGGGAATCAGTGCCTATACTGTAATAAGAGCAAGGGAGGTCTCGAAGGAATTAGAACGCATATGAAGGATAAGGGCCACACCATGCTCGGCTTCGAAACAGAATCACAGCAAATCGAATTGGGTCAGTTCTATGACTTCACCTCCACATATAGTGATGTCTCAGGCGACGAGGCCACCGAAGAGCCCTGTAAGCGCGGGCTGAAGGCTCCTGTTCTCATCCGGAAGGAAGGTGAGCCAGAGGGTGAAGGCTGGGAAGGAGCGGATGATGGTGAAGGATGGGAAACCGATTCCAGTGCTAGTTCACTTGATTCCCAGGACCTTTGTGCTGTCCCTCTCGACCACAAGGGCCACCACCACAAGAAACCCTCAGAAACTAGACACCACATGACCGATGGCTGGCATTCTCATGCTCACTCCCATGCTCATTCCCATGCAGTCTACCATGATGACTACGAGTTGCATCTTCCCTCTGGACGCTCCGTCGGTCATCGTTCTCTAGCCCGCTACTACAGGCAAAATCTCCGTGATCATCCTCTTCAAACTCGCGAAGTCCGTCGCATTGCCGACACACAATACCCTCACTCTGATGACGGTACTGAAGTAGTCTCCGGTGATGATGATGATGATGATGATGATGATGATGATGAGGGTGGCGTTATTGTTGATACTCGAGAAGAGCGCCGCAGAAACGCTATTACCCGTGCGAACGGTGGCCAGGGAATGCTCGGTGTTTCCTTATCTAAGAAGCGCGAAGTGCGGGAGCAGGAAAAGCGCTCTAGAGATCTTGAGAATCGTGGGCGTAGAAGGCAGGAGTGGGGTGTCAATCGCAAGGCGAATATGCAAAAGCACTATAGAGATCCACTGTTACAGTAGTTTTTCTCTTTTGTCTGGTCCGTGGCTAAGGTTTCTATTCTGATACATATTATCATTGCTATATTTTTTTGCTGTTTTCTTTCTTTTTTCCTTCCCTTTTTCTGGTTTCTGTCGGGGGTGGGCTGTTGCGTGTGTTTAGTTTCTTTGGTCCTTGTATAACTGCCTTATGGTTACTTTTACTGTGGAAAAGTTTCATTTGTTGATTTCTATTGCTTTTCTGCCATTCGGGGCGGCTTGGCTGGGTTGGGTTGGGGAGTGACTGAATAGTTTACGAAGCAAGGTTCGGCAACTGGATGGAAAATGGAGTGGTAAATTTATTGATGCAATGATTTTTTTCTGTTTCTTGTTGACATTGGTTTGGTATCTTTGGGCATTTCGAAAGCTAATGTAGCGATTGTAGTTACGAAAATGGGAGGCGAGGTTTCATGAGGCGTCACTCGGTGGGTGATTTACCTCATGTGTTGGGGTGTGTTGCTAGGGGTGGTACGATAGTGGTAGTGTCTGATGAAGATGTAGTTGGTAGTTTAGTTCTGCCACCTCTCAGTGTATTGATTTCTATCCTCCTGGCGGTAGATGGTAGTTGGATAGGGTGCTGGATGGACCAGAGTGATTTTTCCAACTTTATTTCTTATGAACTCTATTCACTTAGACAACCTAGTTAAGCCTGGCACCTCAGCACGAAATACGGATCCCCTCCCCAGTACTACTACTGTCCAAGGGCACTCTGGGAGAATCAAGCGCAGAGGCAAGAAAAATAGAGTATAACCCCCCCGGAGGGTATAGTATAGGCACTGCATTTGGACCCAGGGAGAGGGGGTAATTTTGGAGTGTTTTTTTTGTCCAAGACTTGGTTAGGAAGTCCTGCGTATCGGAAGTATGATGGGGGTGGTTAGTTGTGGGATCTGTAGGAGGAAGGAAGGAAGGAAGGAAGGAAGGAAGGAAGGAAGGCGGGGATGTTTGTAAAATAATGATGTTCAATTTTCGACTGGGTGTTTTGGTTTTGATGGTGGGAGTGTTTTAGCATAAGCTCAAGTGCTTTTGTGAAGACTTTTTTTTTGGGGGGGGGATGTTGGTGCGTTGTGCGTGTATATTTGGCAGGGTGTCCCCTAGGGTTGTGTGGGAGCGGAAGTGTATGTAAGATATTATGATACGATATATCGCCTCCGCGGTTCTGGTTCTGTGGGGTGGGTGGTAGACGGATGGATGGGCTACCGGGTGGCTGGCGGTGTGTGGCATATCATACGAGAGTTACTGCTGATTGATGTTTCGATTATCTTGGAATGATATTAATTATGCAAGAGTGGTTCAAGCTATCTATTCATCTATCCATCCATCCATATTTTTGCAGTGACGACGTTGGGGACGAGAACATTTTAGGATTCCTCACCCTCCATTCCCCTCGTATTTAGCACTTTCTTCCCGCCCGCCTAGTAACTAAGTTACCGGGCTGCTCCGGGCATCACTGCATAATAGGAGGAAGAAAGAAGGGAACCAAAAAAACTACGAAGAGTTACCGGACAAACCCGTCCCGATAGTGAATACACCTTTGGCAACTGCCCGGCTGGTGTATGGCCTACCACGGATGGGGAAAGGGGAAAAGTAGTGTTTTCCCATATCGATTCCATTCCCACTCAGTGTCCGCCCCCCTTCCCTGGGAGGAGGGGGGGAGGGGGAGTTGTCTGATTTAGGATTTTCTTCTGTCTTGAATATGGTATTCCCGCTTGGCTGCGGGCCGGTTTGTGGAGAGGGTTTGTATGATATGGTTCTGCTCATCTTTAGAAGTACCGTAGCTCGAGCTCTTGGGGAGGGGAAGTCACTCCCTGACGAGATAGGTTTACATCTCTATTTTAACAGGCCTTGTAAATGTCGCTGTTTTTTGGTTCTGTTTTTTTTTTTTTTTTTTGGGTTGCATGTTGATGTTACGGTATTGAGGCCTGGACATGGGGGATCACTCGAGAGGTCGTGATGCGCAGTGTACTTCTTGCTTAATTGAAGAGAGAAAGGAAATCAACGACAACGATACTACATAATGTAGTAGTAGTAAAATAGAAAGGAAACGCGAGTGAGGAAACTCTGCCGTAGTCAACCGCGTAATGAGCTCAACTAGTGATGAGCTCATATCGAAAACATCCTGTCGTAGTCGATAACGAAACCGATGCGTATTTGGAAGTCATATTACAACACAGAGCGCTTGTTGGTGTCGCTTTGGTTGTCATAGGAGGCGCGAGGGAGGAATGTGCGGGTGGGGAAGAGTGGTGAGTCCTTCCTGGATTCCCATCACACAGGGATAAGCGGAGACCCTCCGGGTCTTGAGGGAGGTTTTGCTTTCGGATCGTGCTGTGTTGTGCTTTTGTGTGTTGACGTTGAACCCGCTTGTCATATTCACTCAGAATGTCCCAGGGAGCTTAAAAAAAAAAAAAAGGGGGGGGATAAAATCGTACAAAGGGATGAAAAATTCAACCAAAGCGAAAGTGGGGAAAAAAAAAAACTCTAGGTTTAATGTTTTTATTTAGCATCAGGTATCGATATTTTAAATAATTAGGGCTAACGTATAGCAGGAATGACCCTCGTCTGTGATACCCATGTCGCGCATATCCAGCAAAGACCCCACGGCGGAATTAGGTCGCTTCCTGCTCTAGGAAGCCTCCGCCGAGTATCCCCAAGGCCTCCAAGGGCCTTTTGCGGGAAACCTTGCGAGCTCTCCATGCTGTTCAAAGGATCACATTCGAAAGCGGTGGTTGATGGAAAATGGTGGACTTGATGTATGATAGAGTTTAGGCTCATAGCACTTCTCGGGTTTTAGGTTGATCTCGGTGGGGTGCTTTGGGGTTTTTGAGAGTTGTGAGGGGTTCTCGGGAATTTTTCTTTTCCAAATATGATATTTTGGCTGTTGCCATTCTATACCGGTATTTGAATTTTTGATGGCGGTAACTAGGGGTTGAGGTCGTAGCTGGGTAGTGTTTAAGGAATGGCATCTTTGAACACCGGTACGGGGAATTGGCGTTTGGGGTTCACTATTAGTCATTGATATGATATCATATTTTTTTCTAAAATATAATTCTGTTAGAAAGTGAAGAAATATCGCAATATTTTTGTATGCACTTGAGACACCCCCCCCAAAATCTATGCCATAAAAAATGGTGTGCTGGGCAGCGCTTTAGCCAGTTTTAATGGATATGTGTGTGGACAAAGCATTTAGTAGCAATTGTTTAATCCCATACCTTTCCATTCACTTGTAAGGGGGGTTGTCTTTTTACCCTGGTAGAGTGGGTGACGGAAACTAACTGGGGGCTTGCAACACAGAAAGAACTTTGTGATAACATAACGAGGTTGTACGTGCTGTTTTCTTCTTCTTTTTCCCTTCGTGCACAGCGTCGACGCGATGGGGTACGAATACTCAAATTGGTGAGTGATCCATTCATATGATAGAAGCACCGAAACCGCCACAAGAACTCCCGTAGGACCGGAATAATGTTGGGTCTCAATATAACACTACCATCTTACATCTCGTGCGATAGGTCAACTGTTCATACTTTTCTCTTTTCTCGACCCTCATATTGTCCACTCCAACGCTTTTGGACGCAGAACTAGTCGAGCGTGGTATCAACTGATCCGGAGTTTTCGAGCAACAAAACTCCCAAAAGCCTCAACTGAGCCACGAGACAAGCATTTTTTAATTGTCCCTCCGGTATTAAGTCAGGTTTGAGTGGTTTTGCAGTGCTGGTTCAAGTGCCATTGGGCAACTTGAAGACCGGAAGCGGAAATGAGACAAGGGTTTTAGTGAGTTCTGTGGAGAGGGAATAAGAATCTGGGCGATGGTTGATGATTGAGGGTTAATAAAAAGCTATCATAAGTAGGTTGGTTTCTAGAGGGCGTTGGGTCTGAGGAAGAGACATGTGTTATCACTCGTACTTGAATATGGTAAAACTGTTGGAAATTGAGGAAGACAGACAGGATAAAACCGGTTGTAGTTGCAACAGTAATGACTGAAAGGTGGGTTTTACCCAGTGGATAGAGTTGGCTCTGATGGTAATGAGGGAACCTTGTATTGTATGTGTGTGAACAATAGAGAAAGAGGAGTGAGGAGAGTTTCATTCAAGAGGTGTGGAGTGGAGTTGGATGACTTCTTAAGAGGGAAAGAAAGGAAAGAAAAGAAATGAAATAGGGAGGTGAAAACTTTTCACTTCCTACGCGTCCTCATATGAGAGGTACGCACACCACCGTAGTTTCTAGCTACTGGTACTTAACTGCCAGTTTCAACAAAAACAGTTCTGCTGCAGAGAATACCATACGAGAGGATACTGCAACTTACTGAAAACCCACTATGTTGTAATATGACTTCCAAATATGCATCGGTTTTGTCATTGACTACGACAGAAAGTTTTTGATACGAGTTCATCACTAGTTGAGCTCATTACATGGTTGACTGCAGTAGAGTTCCGTCGGGAACTCTATCTTAGTACTTGTTTTTTTTCGTCGCTCGCGTTTCCTTTCTCTTTACTACTACGCTGTGTAGTATCGTTGTCGTTGATTTTTCTCTTTCTCTTGCGCGAAGCGCATGTCATGGGTGATTGTAACGCGCTCTCATGTAGGATGAATAGGACCCGATAGCCCCCCGGTAGAGCTTCAATTAAGCGAGAAGTACAACTTCAAGTAAGAATAACAACACACTAGACGCCTATAGCGGGGCCAGTATAAAAAACGGATAATTTCTGAGAGAGGATGTAAGAAGGGGGGGGGGCTTATGGTACACAATTGAGGTTTCTAAATGCGGGGTGAACCCCGGAATTGTTGATACGGATAACATGAATTCGGCTCGGGTTCTCCCTAACAGGACCCTCCTATACCCAATCCTCCCCATATACTACCAGATCCTCATCGCAAACTCTTTTACCTAACAATTCTCTATGCCCTGTAGGTTGGCTATCTGAAACCCTGCCGTAAAAAACTCAATCTGTGAGGAATTTCTGGAAGACGAACTCTTATGGCAAAACAATGACACCAATACCAGGGATTAAAATTTAAAGCGCCAGAAACTGTTTCCCGGTATTGCGCGCTAAAGCTGTAATTTACGCATGGGAAGGGTTTTTATTACAATATTGAAGGGAAGGGTAGTATCCAACACTAATGTCCGAGGATATGGCAGGGCTCTTCCCTCCTTGCTGAGGACATTATATCTGTTCGCGATGACAGTATGGGAATTGGACGGGGTGCCTTGGGATGGAATAGGGGAATTGCGGTGGGTAGAGATGTACCGGGGATTGAAGTATCCCTCCCACATCGCGGGGGAGTGGATCTTGTGGAATGCTATGAGCCACTCTATCACTCTTCACAGATTGGAGTGGGTTACCTCGGATACAGCGGAAAGATCCCTTATGCGTCTACGGATGTGGAAAGGAATATCGGAGTGGTTTTGATCGGAGCTCTTGCTAACAAAAGAAGCAGGGAGCGCAGTACAGTGCACAAGGGTTGGGCCAGTTCGGAGAAGCAAGCTTGGAAGCATATTTATTTATGAGACCAAGGTTGCTATGGAAGGGCTGGAGAAATATACTAGAATAGGCTGAGTACTGCTCTGTAAAACCATACGCTATGCAGGCAATTTGCATGCAAGATCGTGCGGGAAGGGGTTAGCAGCATGGGGCATTTTTCGGTGAATACTGGGAGTGCCAGTGGAATGGGAATTAGTATCGCAGTTGAATGTCTCCTTAATTGCCCAAATTCGCTCTGCCAGTAAGACTAGCAGGAATCTAGATATGTATCCGTTAGTGGATAACTTGAGGTAGCTTCCCGGCGCTTGTCGCTTCTACCTAGATTTTTGAAACATCTTCAGGAATTTTCTTCAAAATGTCTGCCCCTAGACTACTGTCCATCGCATCAGGGGTTATATCCTCATGTAGCATGGTGTGA